TCAGAATCACCTTTACCACTTCACATCTCTCCCTCCCCTGCCTCTCTCACTTCCACAGACGCTGTGACCTATCTTCTTGGGGAATGGAGGATGCAGGACACATCTTCCCTTTGACCATCATCCTGGGCCTTTCCTGAATACCATGAGTCCCCTAACTGATTGTTTACCCCAAGTTTCCAACTCTTGACCCATCATGCATCTAGTAGCAGATTTTGGTAATGGTACCATTTTTATAGGACAGCGGAGCATAGTGACCAAGAACACCTAATGTCAGACAGATTTGACTAATTTCATCAGCTGAGGGTCTCATCTTCTCTTCAGAGAGGCCTTCTCTGACCACCTCATCTAAAGTTGGTCTCCCCACCCCCACCAGTTACTCACGATCTCATGTAATCCTGTTGTTTACTTCATGTGGTTGTGTGCCATTGAGTCAATTCTAAATCATGGTGACAGGATATGAAAGAAAAGATTTACCCCCATAAGATTTCCTACCATAGCTCTGGTAGGGTAGTGATTATGAATCGGCCTGTGAACCTCAGGGACAGCAGTTTGAAACTACCAGATGTTCCACGGGAGAAAGATGAGACTTTCTGCTCCCGTAAAGATTTACAGCCTCAGAAACCCTGTTACAGGGTCCCTCTGAGTCAAAACTGACTCCACGGCACATAACAACAACAATAGGGTTTCCTAGGCTGTAATCTTTATGGGAGGGGGCACTGGTGGTGCTGTAGGATAAATTCTGGACTGCTAACCACAAGGTCGGCAGTTCAAACTCACTAGCTGCTCCTCAGAAAATGAGGCTTTCTGTTCCCACAAAGATTTACAGCCTTGGAAACGCTATACGGGGTTGATGTGAGTCGGAATTGATTCAACAGCACTTAGCAATAACAGTCTTTATAGGAACAAGGTCTTTATAGGAAAGACCTTGTGAGGTCTTTTCTCTTCCATCACCTCAGGTGGGTTCAACCGCTGACCTTTTGTTTTGCAGGTGAGCAGTAACCATTTGTACCACCATAGCAGTTATCCTAACCTGTTTACTTGTTTACTCTCTTCCCATCAAGTCAAAGGCTCAAGAGGACAAGAACTCTAGCTGTCTTATTGCTGTTTTCCTAGCACAGGGCTTGATGTACATAGGTCCTTAGTAAATATGTTTTTGAATGAATAAATGATGGATTGATTCCCAGCTTAATGACTACATGACCTAAAGAAAGTTGTTTAGCTTCTCTGGACTTCAGTTTTCTTATCAGTGAAATGGGAAAATAATAGGCATGTGATATTAAATGACACAGTGTATTTGCACCACTAAATCCAGGGCCTGGGACATGAAGTGTTCTCTAAAATGTTCTGCAGTGTTCTGTATAAGAAAAATTAAGTTCAAACTAGTTAGCTGGCTCTCCACAATTTGTCCACAACTTTTATTTCCTACCGCTCTGTGGGTTAGGCATTGGGCTGCTAACCACAAAATCGGCAGTTCAAACCCATCAGCCACTCACTCAGCAGGAGAAAGATGAAGAGGTATGCCTCGGAAGCCTAATATAGGGTTGCTATGAGTAAAAAACAGATTCGGCAGTGAGTTTGCTCTTCCCCAACACTTGCTCCGTTGGCTCAAATTACAACTGCCCTGAATGGGTCATGTGCATTCTTATTCCTAAATCTTTGTCTGAGACTTGAAATGCTTGGTTTATTTAGCTCAACTAAGTCTTACCCACGTTTTCAGAATTAAGTCCATGTTCTCTGTATCACTTTTCTGAAGTGCCCCAAGTCAGAAAGATTATTCTTTCTTCTGAAGTTTTGTTATCTGTATCACACACATGGCTCTCATTCTGTGCTCTGTTATGTTGTCATTTTATTAATATAGATTTTTCCTGTTTCCCTGCTTAGACTGCAAGCCCTTTGGAGACATGTATGATAGTTTTCTGCATCTGCAGTGCTACTTGGGTCTATACATGGTAGGGTTTCAATTATTCTTTATTTTTTTTAAAGCTTTTATTGTGAATTGAATGAAGGCTTACAGGGCAGATCACCAGTTTTGCATTTAACAAATCATTGCAATGATTACAATCCCCTCCGTGCACCATGCTAACAGTATTTACCTCTATTACCTTTTTTTCTGTTTTTGATGTACACATACCACACTGAACATATAGATTTATTTAAATGTTCAAAGGGCACATTTTGCATGCCAGCCTCCTGCCTGCAGGCACACTGTCTTTCTCAGTTCATGGTCCTATAGTCCCCTGCTGCTCTTTCTCTCTATGCCAGCACCTCTGTCACCATCTCTGTTATCGTTAGGATCCCTTTTCTGGTTAGGATCCCTTTCTCCTCTCATGCTCTTCCCTCTTGTTGGTCCTAGGGTTCTCTGTTTCTGAAATGACAGATTAACTGCTCCCCTCTTTTAGTTACAGCTCTTCTACATTTACTGTTGTGACATCACCATTAGTCCTGATAACAGTTACTCACAATTGAATCATAAAATCCTATCCCCATCATCAATAGACCCAGCTAAACAAGAGGGAAATTATTTAGTGGGGATTCTACCTTCTCCCCCTCATTCTGACACTAAGCACCTTCATGAAAACTTGTAAGCCAGCCACTTTGTGCCTGTATAGCTCCCCAGTTTTGATAGCCAAAGTCTGAGTTGCCCATCCCTATAAGCCCAGTGTACTGAGGAGGTGCACTTGATCCTTGATATGAAGAATCCTTCCCTTTCAGTTGAAATTTTGGGCAACTTCACCCATAAGCCGAGGTCCAGCTCATCAAGTTGTAGCAATTTATGCTTGCTTCCCTGTATGTCTCTTGTACTTTGGACATGTTGTCAGAATGAATCTGTTCCTGGATAAGGGCATCATGCTTGGTAAACTGGAGGGTCGTAGATAAAAAAAGAAAGCTCCCAAAGAGATGGACTGACCCAGTGGCACCAACAATGGGCTTTCAGTTCATTTTTTATTATTGTTACTAAGTGCCATGGAGTGGGTTCCAACTCATGGTGACCCAGTATAGGGTTTCAGAGGGGCAGCTGGTGAGTCTGAACCATCGACCTTGCTATTAAAACTGACCTTACAGATCAGTGCTTATACTATAGTGCCACAGGGTTTCAGTTCATTTTTTATTAGATGGAATTAAAAGCATACAAGTATATATTTGTTGACTACTTTCTGTGTACCCAGCATTCTTCCAAGCTCTGTGAAGTATACCAAAGGGCATAAGAAAAATTTGCAAAACCTTTAAAGAATGTAAGGTATTGTAGTAAGCAAAGTCAACATACAAGTAGCATATCACAGTGTGGTAACTGCTGCAGGAAAGGTAAGTGTTATGAGGTTTCAGTGGTGGGAGAGAGGGATAAGGAAAGGCTTCTTAGAAGAAGTGGCTTTTGATATTGACTTTGAATAGTTGTGATTTAGATGGGAAAAATGGGAGTGAGACTTGGATATGAACACCAGGTCTAAGGGAGAGGACTAGTGAAGAGATTGGAACACTAAGACTCAGAAACTGGGCAAGAGGCTTAGACAGGAGACCTGGAATATCGTCCTCCTTTAAGAACACTGAAGCAAGTATTCTTAAATTTCAAATTCATCAGGGATGATGCAGGGGGTGATATGTAGGGAATGAAATGCTATCATTGTTATGGACTGAATTGTATCCCCCCAAAAGATGTTGAAGTCTTACCCCCTGGACCTGTGAATGTGAACTTGTTTGGAAACAGGGTCACTGAAGATGTTATTAACATGAAGTCATTCAGCAGTAAGGTGGAACTAATCCTGAGTGGTGTCCTTATAAAAGAGGAGACTCACAGAGACACACACAGGGGAAAGATCACCATGTGAAGATTCAGCTACAGGTCAAGGGATGTCAAGAAACGCCTGGGGCTACCAGGAGAGACAAACAATCTTCCCCTTAGATAGAGCCTTCTGAGCGAACATGGCTGTGCCAACATCCTGAATTCAGAAAACTAGCCTCCAGAACTGTGAGATAATAGATTTTTGCTCTTATAAACCACCCACTTTGTGAATTTCTTACAGCAGCTCTAGGAGAAGAATACAAACATGTACCAGAACATGATCCCCAAGTCTTGCTTTTTCAAAGGCTGAGAATTATTTACAATGATTCTCTTTCCCAGTAATGATGGCATTCACCTACATTCTGATCTGATACTGTATACACAGGGCTTTAGCCAGTCTTTCTTTTCTTTGAAATTCAAATCCAATTGAATTCATTGTTCATGATATTCGAATCTTATCTTAGATAAGTAGTTTTGCTGTTAAATAATTTACCTTAGAAAATAATTTATCTTAGAAAAGTTGAAAGCAGTTTTTGTGTGTGTGTGTTTGTGTGTGTGTGTAATTACAATCACCCTTAGCTCAATTCTACCCTTTTTGCTGTCAGTCTGATACCCAAAAAGAAGATTTGAGTCATAGTGAATCTGCGGAATTCTTTTTAATCTCCAGTAACTCAGCAAATAACCATTAATTTTAGAAGACCCTCTCTCTTCATTTCAATTATTACATTATTAAATCGGGAGGGACTGAATCCCCCCAAATTACAAAAGCAACTCCCAAGCAATAAAATCAGAATAGACAAGAGCGACGCTTCCCCAGTTTTCAAGTGTCAGGTACAGCCGCATACAGAAGCACGAGATTTTCAATTTCTAGGAAGCAATTGGAAGGACCTTCAAGTCCAGAGGCCTCTAAAGGGAGGGAGGCGGTTTCCACGGCAACCAGGCCTAGGAGCGGTTGGTTCTTGGGCTTCCTCCTCCTCCTGGTAGCCCAGGGTACCGCCGGACAGCGTCCTCCCGTGCTCTGCGCGCTGATTGGCCACACAGGCCGCGCGCTGATTGGCTGCGATGGAAGCCTAGCGGACCGGTGGCTATGGAGGAGGCGGTGGTTGATGGTTGACCGTTGGCTCCAGGGTTGGGGTCGCCACTTGGGCGATCCTCTTAGAGGCGACCAGTGTGCGAAGGCGACTGACGCTCGGCCTGGAAGCCGCGGGCTAGAACTAGTTCGGTTCCGCCATGCCAGCGGGGAGTAACGAGTCGGACAGCGTCCTCAGCTATCAGGTAGGGCCCCGCCTCCCGCTCCTCCCCGGGGCTCAGCCTCCTCATCCTCTCCTTCTGCCCCCAGCCCCCGGCTCCTCAGGCCACTCCCTGAGGGCGAGGGGAGGCCGGCCCGGGACGCCAGGGGGCGCTCCGGACGACTGGGGATCCGGCAGGGGCTGCGGGAGGGTGACCTTGGGCCGAACCTGCGAGCTGGCGACACTGCCGCATCTCTTGCGCCGCTGAGGAGCTGACGGTCGGCTGGCTGTGACCTCTGTCGCCTGGGTCCTCCCTGTCCCTGTCGGGAGAGGCTGGCTTGTAGCCTCGCGTTGTTCTGTGGCAGAAACCCTGCTCTAATGGAGCAGGTTCTTTGTATTTTTATTTCTAGGGACTTCTGGGTTTATTGTTGGTTTGTTTGTTTTGATAGCGCAGAGAAAGAGCTGGAAAGACTGAAGACTAAAATCAAATCTCGTTCTGATAGCGCAGCGGTATAACTCGGACCAGCCCATTACACAGACATCTGACAAGTTCTGGATAGGGAAGCAGAAATGGGCTGGGATCAGGAAAATCTGTATTTGTTTAGGAGCATGGGAACACCAGGTTTAAGTAATTGTTAAATGAATTGTTGAGTTGGCTAATTTAAGACAAAGCATTGGACTAGGTGTTAGGTTCGAAACCTAAATCTAAAGCCTCTCTCAAGCTTTGTGACCTTGAGTAATTCACTTACCTCTCTGAACCTCAGTTTCTCCATCTTTTAAAACGGGAATGATAATATCTGCCTTGCTTACCTCGCACGTTTGGTTTGAGGATTAGATGAAGTGTCCTCGGTGAAAGGGTTTTTGTGAAATAATGTTTATTGTGTAGCAGTGAGTGGTAGGTAGCTCCTTGAATTCTCCCCCTTTCCTGTGCAGTCATATGGCAGCGCCACTGTCTTGAAAAAAGGGGAGTGAAGGTTGGTAATGGTGAAGTGGAAAGCTTTGAAGGGAATGGGCTGTTTTAGGAAGGACGACTGAGGTAGGAGATAGTTTCTGGAAGGGGCAGGGCAAACATTGAGTTTGTAGTATAAAATGGGTATCAGAGTCTGACTCTCTCATTTTTTTCCTGCTAACAGTTTGTTAATGGAAGATCTTTAGTTCCCTCTTTCCTTTCTTATAGTCAAGAAAGGAGCCATATTTAAGATTTTGGAAAACCTTGCCATATTTAGTCCTCCTTTTTGTGTTTGGCATACAGTAGTAAACAAAAATAGGCAAAGTTTTGGCCCTCCTGTAGCTTATCGTTTAGTGGGAAGGGACGATAATTTAAAATCAATCACACAAGTAAAATATGTTATTATAAACCATGGTAAGTACGTTGAAGGAAAGGCAGTGTGCCTAACAGTGGTTCCAACCTTGGTCTTGGATCAGAGACGAGTTTACTAGGGAAGAAAATGTGGGCAAAGATCTAAAGTGTTAACTGAGGGAAGAGTGAGATCAAAGAGCCTTGTAGCAAAGGAAATAGTATATACAAAGGTCCTGTGGCAGAAGGGGCATGTCTTTAGAAGACCTGAAAGAAGGTCAGTGTGCTTGGAGTTGCAAGCAGCCTCGAAAGAAGTGATGTTCAATGAACTCTGGAACTATATGATCCAGAGTCATTGTAGCTCAAGTTGAAGATGGTGGTATTTATCTGAAAGAACTAGGGGAAGCAACTGAAGGGGCTTATGTAGGGAGAGGAAGAGGGGGAACGAAAGAGGGGTGGGAGAGAGAAGGAAAAATCCTGAACAGATTTTCCTACTGAAAGATATCTCTGGGGAGAAAGGCTGGAGGGAAATGGGTGACCATTCGGAGGCTGTCCTTACCATGCATAGTAGCCCTTAGGCTTCTATTAGTGCTCTGTGAAAGTGATCATTCCTGAGTGCTTTTGGACCAGAACAGAAAATAATCATCTCCTGTACATGGTGAAACTTTCATAGGTTGGTGGGGTGAGGAGAGGGGAAGGAATAGACTGAGAACAGGAGGACCTCATTAAGACAGGAGTCAATGATAAGCAGCAAATAGGAATTCAAGGCATAGAGAGGAAAAGAGAATGAGGACAGAGGGAGAAAAGGTAAAAAGAATGAATTGGAGGAGACACAGCTAATTGAAAATGACAATTATGCCTCCTCTGTGCCCAGCTAGTCTTGCAAAATGAGTAGATTGTATAACTTAATGTAGAGAGAGAAATTCCAGACATCGCATCTAAATAGAACTCTGTTTTCTTTTCTAGGGTTTGGGACATTGCATTAATTCCCTAGCTGTTCCCGCTTGCTTCCTCTCTTGCCCCTCTACCCGTAGCAATATACGGAAGTTTCTATCTTGAAATCATTCAGGTGTTTCCCATTGCATATTAGAATCAAATCCAAACTCCTTATCATGGCTTGACAAACTTTTATGTGTTCAAGGCCTTGCCCACTTCCATAAATGCCTCCCTCAACTCTCTAACTATGCATTGCTCCAATGGCTTTCCCCTGTTTCTTCTGTATGGCAAGTTCCTTTGTGCCTCAGAACCTTTGTTCTTATTGTCCCCTCTACCTAGGACACTTCAGGCCTTTTCAGGACTCAACTGAAATATTATTTTCTCAGGGTGCCTTTCCCTGACCTTCTACCCCCCAATCACTTTTTTATACAGTCCTGTTTTATTGTGTTCTGTTGATTTCTTGTTTATTATCTAATTGAATATAAGTTTCATGAGGGCAGGAACCAGGCTGAAAATCCAGCAAAGTTTCTGATATAAATTATCAGGTGCCCATATTCAAAATTATGGTGTCTTTCCTTTAAAGAGATTATAGTCTAGTCAGTAATAGCACAGAGCCACAGTTGTCCATTGGTTGATTACACAAAACTTCTCGACTGTCATGTTGTTGCTCAGTAGTCTTCCCTCTGCTTCACTGTTAACTTCAAGGCCAGCTTCATGACACTCAAGCAAAATTTGTCACTCAGTCTTCTCTGCTCACCTGAAAAAAACCTTTGCTGCTGAGTTGATTCCAACTCTTAGTTGGAATATATAAGACTCTTTAAGACAGAGTAGGACTTCTCCATAGGGTTTCCAAGGCTAAAATCTTTACAGAAGCAGACTGCCACATCTTTCTCTTGTGGTACAGCTGGTAGGTTTGAACTGCCAACCTTTTTGTTGGTAGCCACATGCTTAACCTCTGCACTACCAACGTTTCTTTTCTGCTCACAGCACATAGTGCAGTTTCTCTTCCCTACCCTCCCACCCTTTAACTTCTGGAGTATGCATGTTTGTGTCTGTTGCTAAACTGAGAGCTCGCTTTGTTGTTGTTAACTTTTTCTTTTTTTTTTTAAATATTTGTTTTTTATTAAACATTGAAATTAGTCCTGGTGTGGTGCTGCAAGATAATGCACTGGACTGCAAGGTCTGTTTGAACCAAAGAGTTGGTGGTTCAAACCAACCAGCCATTCCTTGGAAACCCTATACAGGGTTGCTATGAGTTCGAACTGACCCGATGGCAATTAACCACAACAGCAATCCTAAAATATAAAGAGTCCTGGTGTGGCACTGTGGGATAATACACTGGCTAGTCACAACTGTCCTGATTGACAGTTCAAACCCACTAGCCACTCCTAGGAAATCCTATATAGGGTTGCTGTAAATAGGAACTGAGTTGACGTCACTTAACGCAACAACATGTTTCTTCTACTTTAGAACAAATGTCCTCAAATTACAATTGCTGTCAAGCTGATTCTGTTTCAAGGCAACCACATGTATATCACATTAGATCTGTCCCATAGGATATTCAGTGGCTGATTTTTTGGAAGTAGATCATCGGGCCTTTCTTCTAATATTATTCTGAGTAGACTCGGATTTCCAACTTTTTGGTTTGCAGATAAATGTGTTTATCCATTGCACATGTATTTCAAATGAAATACTATTCTGATAATACTTGATCTTCTGTCTGATAGATTCATGAACTGCTTGCTAGCATAGAATTGTTACATCAACAGTACTTATTTCTAAATCTCTTGTTATAATTTTCAGTTGCTATCAGTAACATTGTCTTTATTTATAAATTGTATGGTGTCGTTTTTGCTCAGAGCTGTCTACTCATAGTGATCTTGTATAAGGTTCCTGGGTTTTTGTTTTTTTGGTTTTTTAAAAATGTGTTATTGTGAATTATGTGATAGTTTACATGGGCGAACATTAGCTTTACATTCATCCTATCGTATATCGTTTCATTGCCATGGTTACAATTCTCTCCATGCATCATCAGCCAATCAAAGGGTATATCCTACAAGCCTACTCCCTGGTGATCAGCACACAGCCCCTCTCCCTCTCTGGGTCTAGAGTTCCCAGCAGCTCCATCTCTCCACGTCATCGTCTCTGCCCCCATCTCTGGCATCACTGTTTCTCTGGGTAGGGTTCCACATTCTGCTCTTCTCCCTTGATGGTCCCAGGGACCTCCGCTCATGAACTGCAAAGTCAACCACTCCCCTCCTTTTGCTACAAAATGTCTACCTTTACATTTCCAGCCATTGTGCCACATGAGTGCCAGCCCATCTCCTTTCATCAGTCCCACCCAGACAGATTGGATAATACTCAGTGGAAATTCTACCTTTTTCCATATCTTTTGGATCTAGCCTCTTGAAACCTTGTGAGCCAGTCAGTTCTTGCCCTTGTAGCCCCCCATTTTGGGTAGCCAATGTCCAAGTTGCCCATCCCTGTCTACCCTGTGTATTGAGTGGGTGGGAAGATCCTTGCTGTAAAGATTTGTTCCCTCTTTTGAGCTACTACATCCATAGGTGTAGGTCAGGTTCATCAAATTGTATCAGATTACGCTTTTTGTCCTCTTCTTTCTTCTTCTAGTTGAGTTCTGATTATCCAGCCATTGAAGCCAGGTCAAGTGGGTATTATCTGCAAGTGTGGGTATTCTTGTGCAAATGCCCTGTCTTCTTATCAACTGGACGCTTCATTCTCCACTCTAGCCCTCTGTGGCTATGTCACTGACTTGGCCCAGGAGTTCCCAGGTCTTGCTGGCCAACCAGGTCTCC